TCTGTGTACCTGGTCTCTGTACACGGTACGTCTATTCTTCTCCCTTTTCACAGTAAAAGTTGTTGATGAGTGTTGTGGTTGTTATAGTACTAGCGTATCGGTGGTGGCAAGTAAGGGAATGGATAAGGTGTACGTGGAAAATCTACTTTTTCACGGGAAGTTGAGGTCGCAGACCACAGCTCAGAACTGCCATTGGGGTTAATCGTAAACGGGAGAAGGAGCAACTTCCAGGGCATGACATTCAACCTCCTGTAGGAGTTAGATGGCCGTTTGTTAATTTTGTGGCGCGCGCGGTATGCAGTGCGATCGATCGAGTCGGCGTAGCGAGTGATCGTCTTAATACGACTGTGAGTAGGGTACAAGCTGTATGGCTGTTAGTTGTTTTTCGCGTCGTTCCTCGCTTGGCTCCCTGCACTACTCTGGTCGCCGCTCTCAGCTTGGAATATCTAGAACTCTGATAACACAGTCAAATCGGAAACAAAAACATATCGATATGAAGTAGTAGTGGTGGTGGTGGTGGCAGTCCCTCTTGTGGCTTGGTAACGGCAGCAGTAGGTATACGTTCGAGCCCGTTGTGGAGAAGCCGTCCTTTCCCAAGGAGGAGGAGAAGGTCCTTGCCTTCTGGGATGAGATTGACGCCTTTCACACGTCTAACAAGATGAGTGAAGGCAAACCCGATTATGTCTTCTACGATGGTCCCCCGTTCGCCACTGGCCTTCCTCATTATGGCCACATCCTTGCTGGTAGGGAAGAAAAGGGGAAGGTCCGTTGAGCTATGGAGAGCCTTCAGGTACCATCAAAGACGTTGTCACTCGGTACGCCCACCAGACGGGTCACCACGTTGAGAGAAGGTTTGGTTGGGACTGTCATGGCCTCCCAGTGGAGCATGAGATCGACAAGGACCACAACATAGGTTCGAAGTCTGATGTTATGAAGTGGGGAATTGCCAAGTAATGAACTGAGTCGAGGAGTGTGGCGCGGATGTCGTTCTATTGGTAGCTACAATGAAGCGTGTCGGTCGATCGTCACACGCTACACTAAGGAGTGGAGGGAGATCGTTACACGATTTGGAAGGTGGATCGATTTTGACAATGACTACAAAACGATGGATCGCAATTTCATGGAGACGGTAAGCTTATGCTGCTGGGAGTATGGGAGGAGATTTGCCCTTTAGGTGTGGTGGGTATTTAAGCAACTCTTCGACAAGGGCCTGGTCTATAGAGCCTTCCGCGTTATGCCTTATTCGACTGCTCTCTGCACGCCTCTGTCGAACTTTGAGGTAACGGTGTAAGGGGTCGTTGATGTGATGTGTGTTGGGTTAGGTTGCTCAAGGTTATAAGGATGTGAGTGACCCCTCTATCATTGTGGCCTTCCCTCGCAAGGACAAGGAGAACTCGTAGGGAGGGGGGCAGTAGGGTAGGGTTAGGTCACTTGGTAGGTACTTGCTTATTTGGACTACCACACCTTGGACACTTCCTTCCAACCAGGCCATCTCTGTGAACCCTAGTTTCAAGTACATTAGAGTCATCAATAAGAAAAATGGTAGTGTTGATGGAGGGCTATGATGTTGGGAGAGCAGTTGGTCGTCGTGTGCAGGTGCTGAGTACATCTTCGCCAAGGACAGAGCGGCTTGGGTATACAAGTGCTTGAAGTTGAATGAGAAGAAGGACGTTGAGGTTGAGGAGACCCTTCTTGGAACGGAACTTGTCGGGATCCCCTATGTGCCTCCGTTCGAGTAGGAGCTTCTATCCACGTTTTTAGTGGCTTTATTGCTATTTCAGTTTCTTCGTGAAACATGAGCGTCCTGGCAAGACCTGGACTGTCCTTTCTGCTGACTACGTTACGGTTGATAGTGGTACCGGACTCGTCCACCAGGTAGGGCCTCGTCGGGCTAGGTCTCACTGGTTGATGCTATTCTATGTCAATGTGGTGAAAATTGCACATGGTCATCCACATGTGTCGGTGACTATATGAAATTCGAAAAATTTTGGGGAACTTTTCCTGGTTTCCGTGGGTTTCTACCGGAACTCGTTCACACATGAGCTCAGGTGAGGAAAGCAAACATGTATTGCAACACTGTTTTTCGTAGTCCCCTGGCTTTGGTGAGGACGATTACCAGACCTGTGTGAAGAACGGTATCATATCTAAGGATGGCACTGATATGAACCTCCCTCTTGATGAGTCGGGTCGGTTCACTGAGGAGGTTGGCCTTTGGGTTCTCAGCGTCGTGCGGTTGTACCTGTGGGGTTAGGTACCACCATACAAGGGAATGCACGTGAAGGAAGCTGATAAGTACATCAAGGAAGATATGAAGAAACGCGGGCTACTGCTTCATAATGGCATGGAGGTAAGGTGGTCGTCCTCGTGGTAGAGTATGTCACCTGTTTGTGTTGGCGTAGATCCATTCCTATCCTCATTGTTGGCGCTCGGACACTCCCCTGATTTACCGTGCAATCGGGTCGTGGTTCATCAAGGTTGAAGAGGTTCGAGATCAGTTGCTCGCTAACAACGAGAAGTCTACTTGGGGTGATTGCCTTTGGTGCTCCTTTTATTGCATGTTGTTGAACTGCCGTGTTTTTTCAGTACCACGCCACGTCCAAGAGGGTCGATTTAAGAACTGGTTGGCTGATGCACGTGACTGGGGTGTGTCTAGGAATAGGTAGGAGCTCAGGTTGAAGGGTGATGGTGACGGTCTTGGTGGCGGTAGATACTGGGGTACTCCTATCCCTATTTGGGCCTCGGATGACTACCAGGAAATAGTCTGCATCGGCAGTGTGGCTGAGCTGGAGGAGTACGCTGGCCATCCTATACCGGACATTCACAGGTAGTAGGTCTACTCTTGCTGGTGTGGAGTGTGAACTTAGGCACTTCATTGACGATATCAAGATCCCTAGCAAGACGGGTCGTGGTTACCTCCATAGGGTTGATGAGGTTTTCGATTGCTGGTGAGTAGTAGTTCGAGAGTGGGGACCGAGAGGCAATCGTTGTAGGTTTGAGTCGGGCTCGATGCCCTACGCCCAAGTCCATTATCCCTTCGAGAATAAGGAGAAGTTCGAGGAGAACTTCCCTGCGGACTTCGTCGCTGAGGGCCTTGACCAGACTCGCGGTTGGTTCTATACGATGACTGTCATCGCGACGCACCTCTTCAACCAGCCGGCCTTCAAGAACCTCATTGTTAACGGACTGGTGAGGGAGCGTGGCTTGGAAGGCTATTGAGCATTGGGGGTGTGGTAGATCCTGGCTGCTGATGGCAAGAAGATGTCCAAGCGCCTGAAGAACTACCCTGACCCGACGGAGGTATTTGACCGTTATGGAGCTGATGCGGTAGGGTTACTGGTGGTGGAGGTCATGGACTAACGGGGGTTGCTCAGGTTCGAATGTACATGTGCAACTCACCGGTTGTCCGTGCTGAGCCGCTGAAGTTCCGAGAGGAGGGTGTCCGGGACACCGTGAAGGAGGTTTTCCTACCCCTCTACAACGCGTACAGGTTCCTGGTCCAAGAGACCTGCCGTTTCGAGAAGCAGGAGAATACCAAATTCGTCCCTGACCGAGCGGTGAGTTAACGAAGTGTGAGCCGTCCGTGATGGTGGTGGTCTCAGTACATTCACAAATCGACCAACCCCACGGACCACTGGATATACGCTACCTCACAGGAGCTCCTCAAGTACACTAGGACTGAGCTGGAGTCGTATAGGTTGTATACTATTGTTGGCAAGTGAGCGACAGAAAGGACGGGGGGAGGGGATCGGGGGAGCTTTCAGGTTGGTGTCATTCTTGGACGACCTCACGAATTGGTATATTCGTATGAACCGCGACCGTATGCGTGGCGGTGTTGATAAGGAAAACACTTTGGAGAGTCTGAACACCCTCTACGATGTAGGTTGGTTCCATCTTGGGACGGCGGAGCGATGCTTTTTTTCAGGTTATGCTCAACTTGACGATCGTTCTGGCTCCCATTACCCCCTTCATCACTGAACACATTTACCAGAACTTACGACTGGCTCTGCCCGATGGCGATCCTCGGAAGGAGAGGAGCGTCCACTTCGTAGGCCTATCCTTTTTCCTATCGGTGATGGTTGCATTTTCGGCTTGTAGGTTATGATGCCTGACCCCGACGTTCAAGGCCTCGACCCAGCTATTGTGACTGCCCTCAACCGTGTACAGACTGTTGTGACCATGGGCCGTCTGGTAGGGGTTTCAGCTTAGTCTTGGTTTCATTAGTCTGTACAGTTGCGCGACCACCGTACGGTTGGTCTCAAGACGCCCCTCAGGCGTATTCGGGTCATTGCGGAGGACCAGTCTTACCTTGATGATATTCACAGGCTGGAAAACTACGTCAAGGACGAGTTGAATGTAAAGGAGTCGGCCTGAGACAGGTTGACTTCACTCGTGTATGGTAGGTGATGAGCTTGGAGACATCCGCGGACACTAGCATGCTGGCCACTGAGGTCGCGCCCAACTTCCGAGCTCTCGGTGGTCTGGTAGGGAAGCAGATGAAGAAGGTTGTCACTGATGTAAGATGATGAGGAGGAGTCGCATGGGCTGGACTGGGTTTTTGTCGCCTTTAGATTAAAGCTATGACCCCAGACC